TCATTTACAGTTGGAGAAACTACCTAGACATCAGTGTGACCTAGAAGGCTACGTGCTCCCAAAGGCAAGACACACCATCATGATCTCCATTAGGAACACAATTTTAAATCCACAGTTTAGCTTCACAGAGGAATGCTAAAATCTAGCACCCCTGTTTACCTGCTGACAGCTAATGCATAATATTAATTAATGGCTCACAGGACCCTGGCCAAGACCTGCATTAAAATAGACAATGCTTATGCTGACACAGCACAACCTCTGCAATGAGCACAATTAACTTTTCCCTTCTTTTATGGTCTGCTCCAACCAGTGCCATGGAGAGGCGTTTCCACTGCAATCTTCAATGGCCTCACTCCCTGTCACTCTTGGGCCCTTGGGTGCAGCAAAAAAAAAAAAAAAAAAAAAAAAGCTACACTACATTAAGTGTTGCAATGTTCGATTCAAAATAGAGAATACAGAAGCTCAGCTCAAAACACAGGACCTGTATTTTTAAAGTACATCTTTTTTGTTTTTAATTCTTTTTCCTCTGCTGCAATCACTTTTTCCAGTGGCTAATAGGCTCACAGGAGACTGTTTTATTGGAAACCCAGTTCCAAATAATCAAGGTAAATGGTGAGTATCCCAAGAAAGGTTTCTTCATGTATGCATGTGAGGTGTCTTCTGCCACTGCTTTTTCGATGACCCCATGGCAGAATGGACCACTACCCACAATGAACTAACCCCCATAGGATGGATGGCGTATCTCCTTAAAATCACAGCCCAAATTGAGACTTTCCAACATAAAGAAGTAAAGTACCCATACCATGCTTGGGAAAATAGCATCACTCTATCACACCAATTATTTTCTTAGCATTCTTTCCTTTTGTCATCTCTTCCTCTCAAAGGAGCTAAGACTCCATATAATGATCAGCCAGTTTCCCAATGGCAATCTGAAACATGAATTTTGGAGCCATGGAAGGGATTTTAAACATGCATCATTATATATCCACACATCAAATAACAGCTTGCTTGACAGTTAAATAAGCATAACTTTTCAATTATAAAACCCTTCACTTAAATAAATACATCTCTGTCATTGAAAAATAGCCCCCACAGATACAAATTCTGCTCACACCTTCACACTGAGATAACACTGCCTTAGGAGCCCCTTTGATTTTGAAGAAATCTTCTTGCAGCCACAGCTGAAACACGCTGTCTTGTAGTTAGTGCACAGTCCACAGAGAACAGCTCCAGAAACAGTGTTGGTGCCAGTGAACTGCTTGGAATATTCAAATGCATTGATTGAAATAATGAGAATCTACAAGAACTACCGGCCAACAGGTTAGTCTTTCTTTCCTGTCCTGCTTCCCGTAATGTGAGTGTTGGGGAATGGGCATTTCTAAATAATATACCATAGCCACAAAAAATCCTATTCAATGAATTTACCCATTTTCTCCTCGTGTTTCCTATCAAGCCCCCATGAACTAGAAAGCTGCAGCATCGGTGCTGCCAGGTCACTGAGGACCTCAAGCAAGACTAGTGCAAAAGTGGAACCATGAAGGGACCGAAATGCTGCTTTGCAGCAAGTGACACTGTGGCTTGTGATACCAGCATACCATGTCAGAGTGCTGGTTTCAGTCCTAACTCATTCATTTCTGATTCAGCTTCTTGCTAATGGCCCTAGGAAGGGAGTAGAAGCGGCCCAAGTGCATGGGCCCCTGCTACCCCTGTGGGAGAACCAGATGGAGTTCCAGGCTCATGGCTTTGGCCTGACCCAGCCCTGGCTGTTGCCAGTAGATGGAAGACCTCTCGATATCTATCTCACTCTGTCTCTCCCCCGCCCCTGCCTCTCTCTCTGTCACTCTGCATTTAAACCAAATCAACAAATAAGTCTTTAAAACCTAAGAAGTTGAGGGGCTGGGGCTGTGGTGCAGTGGGTTAATGCCCTGGCCTGAAGTGCCGGCATCCCATATGGGCACCGGTTCGAGACCTGGCTGTTCTACTGCCCATCCAGCTCTATGCTGTGGCCTAGGAAAGCAGTGGAAGATGGCCCAAATCCTTGGGCCCCTGCACTCACATGGGAGACCTGGAAGAAGCTCCTGGCTCCTGGCTTCGGATCGGCGCAGCTCCAGCCGTTGTGGCCATTTGGGGAGTGAACCATCAGATAGAAGACCTCTCTCTCTCTCTCTCCCCCCCTCTTTCTCTCTCTCTGCCTCTCCTCTATTTGTGTAACTCTGATTTTCAAATAAATAAATAAATCTTAAAAAAAAAAAACCTAAAAAGTTGAGTGGAGCACCTTTCACTTCCTCCTAAGCCAGTTTTCTTTTGCATTGTACCCAGAAAGTACTAAAAAGTAAGCCTTGCGAACCATGTCCTAAGGCAGACCAGCATTACAGATATGAAAACTAAAACAGATAAATGTGAAATGATTCATTCAGCACAGGCTGGGATAAAGAACTGCCAGCTCCAGCTTTCCTCATTCACACAGCTAAATAAGTCCCACTAATTTTCTCAATCTGATAAATTACTGATAAAATCAAAGGGAACATGAATCTCAATGTTCTTGTCTCCCAAATGAGGCCTAAAATCTGTGTTTGTTTGCATACGCATTTCCAAAATGAGTAATTTAGGATTACATTGTTTATATCATTTGAAATAGTCTGCCGTTGGGCATGAAGAACACAGGTGCTTTGGTGGCAAATATTGCTCATGTCACCTGCAGCAACCAAGCCATCCAAGGAGAAGCCAGATGAGGATGTGGGGGAAAGGCACCCTGATCCACACTGTTCGTGGGAATGTAAACTAGGACAGCCATTGTGGAAGACAGTGTGGAGATACTTCAAAAAGCTGAAAATAGATCTACCATATGACCCAGCAATCCTACTCCCAGGTATTTACCCAAAGAAAAAGAAATCAGCATATGAAAGAGTGATCTGTACCCCTGTGTTCACTGCAGCACAATTCACAGTATCTAAAATAGGGAACACCCAGAGGTCCATCAACTGATAACTGGATAAAGAAATTATGGCAGATATACACTATGGGATACTACTCAGCCTTAAATAAGAAAGAAATCCTGTCTTTTGCAACAAAATCGATGAAACTGGAAACCTATTATACTTATTGAAATAACCCAGTCCCAAAAGACAAATACCATATGTTCTCCCTGATCTGTGATAACTAATCAAGTACCAAAAATGTAATGTATAGGGGTGAAATTGACACTTTGAGATTCTGTGATTGTTTACAGCCCTTGTCTCAACTGTTGAGGAACAGTGTTTTTTTCTTCATACTATTTGTTGAACTCTATTCAGTGTAGGATTGATCTTATAAACTGAAGTAGATTATTGCAAAAATTAAGAGAAGGAGGAGTAAGAAGGATGGGAGCAAGGTGGGGGAGGGAAGGTAAGGCGGGCAGTCTCACCATGTTCCTAAAACTGTATACATGAAATACATGACATTTTTATCCCTTAAATTAATTTTTTAAAAAGCTGTAATTCTCAAAAGAGAGAGAAGCAGCCAGAGGAAATTTTCATGGAGAAATTAGAAATGTTAGCACAAGGAAGGCTCGCCTGCTTCCTTCCCACGTTGCTGAGTCAAGACAGCTTGTGAGTTGGGGGTGGTTAAACAAGCCTGTGGCTGTGTGGAAATTCTAGCATGACTAGATAGCAGAATTATGAGAGAAGCATAAAGTAGCACAGACAGTCAGGTGCAAGCCCAGTGTGGTTCTTCCTAAACAGAACGCTGGGTCCTCTGCCCCTGTGATATTCTGGCTTCAAAAAATGCAGGAGACTCAACACACACAAGCTCCAGTAAGAGATTGTTAATACAAACTATAAATAACAGTCGCCAAGCATTTACCAAGTACCAGATACAATGCTATTGATATGGGTTGTCTGATTCCACTTGTACCCACAAGCTTTGCAAGTGAATTAAAAAATCAGGGGCAGACAGGTGGCCCAGCAGGTTAAACCACAGCTCTGGATGGCCACATCCCATATCCAAGTGCTGGCTCTGCCTCTGATGCAGTTTCCTGCTGATGCACACCCTGGGAGGCAGCAGAAGATAATCCAAGAACTTGAGTCCCTGCTACCCACATCAGAGACCCAGATGGAGTTCCTGGCTCCTGGCTTTGACCTGGCCCAGCCCTGGCTGCTGCAGGAATTTGAGGAGTGAGCCAGCAAATGAAAGATATTGGTGTGTGTGTGTGTGTGTGTGTGTGTTTCCTTCCCTGTCACTCTGCCTTTCAAATAAATAAACAAAGCATTTTATAAATCAGAACTGAATGGACTGGGAGTCCGGTCCATGCTCTCCCTTAGCCAGTGTGGGAAGCTGGAGCTCTCTAAGCCTTAGTCCCCTCATTGGAACGTGAGACAATTACAGAGTGTGCTGTATAAAGCTCTTATAAAGACTGAGTGAGCTGACATGTTCAAAGTGTAAGATACGTGACAATTGCTATGTGCTTTTAGTTCCATTTATTTTTTATCACATTCTTTACTATTTCTGATTTATGCCTTGAAAACTGCATGAAATTACATGAAAATTGGAGGCCTAAGTATCAAGTCCTGGGTTGCAAGAGAGTCCTGTCTCTCTGCCTGGCTGCAATAGGGCCATCATCCCCTTCCATCACCTTCGTGAGGGTCCCTTGCGGAGTTTTGTTTTTTGTTTAAGAACATTTCCGAGTTGGACAGAACCACCCTTTTCATCAAACCCTCCTGCTTTCCAGAAAAGCAAAAGGACACCTGTGGAATTATATGTTCCTGGAAGGTCTTCTTTTTCTAGATGCTTCTTGCAGCTGTTACTTCAGCCCTCTGTGCGCCCCACTGCTCACACCACCACGCCACCATTGTCTCTAGATCAACTGCCTGAGACTCTGCTCAGTAAGTAGGGTTTTAACCCTATAGTCTTGTTTTTTTTTTTTTAAGATTTATTTATTTATTTGAAAGTCAGAGTTTTACACACACACACACACACACACAGAGAGAGAGAGAGAGAGAGAAAGAGAGAGGTCTTCTACCTACTGGTTCACTCCCCAATTGGCTGCAACAGCTGGAACTGTGCCGGTTGGAAGCCAGGAACCAGGAGCCTCTTCCAGGTCTCCCATGCAGGTGCAGGGGCCCAAGGACTTGGGTCAACTTCTACTGCTTTCTCAGGCCATAGCAGAGAGCTGGATAGGAAGTGGAGCAGCCGGGACTCAAACTGGTGCCCATAGGGGATGCCGGCACTGTAGGTGATAGCCTTACCTGCTACCCCACAGTACCAGCCCCTCCCTATAGTCTTATGATAAAATGGCAAGAAATTCCACTCCCTGTCTTCACAGAGTAATTATTTGTGTGATGGTCTCAATACTGTCATCACCCTCTGGTTATTCCACGCCTGGCATTCCACGGTACATTCTCAGGTAGTCACCACCAAGCTGCGTATTCCCATTCTCATCTCCATTACGACATTTAGTTTCACTTTAAACATTATGGAGCTGTCTAAATCCAATGAGAGACTACATTAAGGGGGCTGCTTTGCCTCTTTTGAAATGTTCTATTTATTTTCAGTTTTATTTGCAAGGCGGGGAGGCAACAAGATAGAGAACAACAGAGATGTTCCATCCACTGATTTCAAAACCATCCATCTTCCCCAGCCCTACACAAATGCCTAATAGCAGCCAAAGCTGGGCCAGACTGAATCCCAGAACCCAATACTCCACCTAGCTCTCCCATGCAGTACAGGGGCCTAAATTCTTGGGCCATCTTCCACTGATTTTGAAGGTGCATTAACAGGGAGCTGGATCAAAGTGGAGCAGTTGGGACTTGAACTGGCAACCATATGGGATGCCAAAGTCGCAGGCAGCAGCTCAAGCCACCGTGCCACAACACAGGCCCCAAGGAATATTTCTTAATTTCTGGCAAAAGAAGAATGATGGATAGGATTGGGATTACCTTAGCATTTTGGATAGTTTTATGAAAGTCAGCTAAAGGGTGCAGAAATCCATACATCATTTTTTCTTCATTTATATTTTCCATGAACTTTTGAGTATGTCTGGATTTTCAAAAATTTTTGCAACAAAATAAACTTATCTTTTAATTCCATTTTCCACAAACATTTTGACATACCTTCCCTTCCTCCAAGGGATTTAGCTACTCAATATGATTAAACAAGAACTTTAAGGTCCTTGCATTAAATAAAGTACTACTGGGGCCAGCGCTGTGGCACAGCGGGTAAAGCCACCACCCGCAGTGCCAGCAATCCATATGGATGTCGGTTCAAATCATGGCTGCTCCACTTCAAATCCAGCTCTCTGCTATAGCCTGGTAAAGCAGTAGAAATTGATCCAAGTGCTTGGGCCCCTGCACCCATGCAGGAGACCTGGAAGAAGCTCTTGGCTTCTGGCTTCAGATGGGTGCAGCTCCGGCTGCTGTGGCCAATCGGGGAGTGAACCAGGAGGTGGAAGACCTGTCTCTCTCTCTCTCTCTCTCTCCCTCCCTCTCACTGCCTCTCCCTCTCTCTGTGTAACTCTTTCAAATAAATAAATACATCTTTATGAAATTTTTTTAAAAAGTGAAAAAAAATAAAATGCCCCAAAGTGAAGGGGAAAGCTCCGACTGAATCACTACATTTCCCTGAGTAAAGGTAAAATGCGACTACGAGCAGCCGGGGGAGAGACGAAGCCGTGGCTGGTACCACAGTCTCTCTAGTTCAGCCCATTGTCTGCCTTGGTTTGCTGGAAGCCCTTGAGCAATTTATTCAAGCACTCTATGGTTCAGCTTATTCATCTGTAAAATGGGTATAATCATCCTTACTACCTCACTGCTAGTTAATTAACTGTATATAAAGCCTTTGAAAACATAAAGTGCAATGTGTGCACTAATTATTATAAATTCAAGAAAAGCACCACAGTTCAATTTTTAATGGCCTATATATTTTATTGAAAATATATAAAGCCCATAATAAAATTAACCTATGTGTCAAAAATTATGGCTTGCCTGTGCTGTCTTGTCTGTCCCTCTGCCAGAACTACAGTAGCAATTTCCTAAGCTAAAGCAATAATTTTACGCCAGTGATAGAAGTTTAACCAATATGACCAGGCCTAACCTGTGATTTACTGTGTTATAAAATAGCATCTCGTACTCTTGCCTTAATTCCCTTAGTTATTATAAGTCAATTAATGTAACACTAGAACCTATTACCAAAATGTTATAATAAAGTAATAGGGCTTTGTGTCAATTTCATGGTAAAAGGTTTCAACACTGACATATGACCATACTTTTTAGTTGGTTTTTTTTTTAACCATAATCTAAAAAGTTTTGTTAAAAAGGAAAAATATTTTTTAAAATAGCTTTGAAGTCTGGTTTAGAATGAGAAAACCTAAGATAGAAGAAGAAAAAGAGGGGTGTGTGTCTGGCACAGTGGTTAAGACCTCCCCTGCTGGGGACCCAGCATTGTGGCACAGCAGGTTAAACCATCACCTGCAACACCGGCCTCCCAGTTCAAGTCCCGGATGCTTCTCATCGGATCCAGCTCCCTGCTAATGCACCTGGGAAAGCAGCTGAAGATGGCTCAAGTACTTGGACCCTGCCACCCACTGGGAGACCTAGATGGAGTTATGGGCTCCTGGCTTTGGCCCAGCCTTTGTAGCCATTTGGGGAATGAACCAGCAGATGGAAGATCTCTATCAGATATCTATCTATCTATCCATTTATACGTATCATTTCTATCTTTCCCTCTCTCCCTCTTTCTCTCTGTCACCCTGCCCTTCAAATAAACAAATGTTTAAAAAATAAAGTTACAAGGTAGTTGAGGGAATGAAAGAATGACAAAGTGATTGAGTAGGTACAAGCTTCTGCTAAGGGGAAAAAAAGACCTCTGTGGAAAAAAAAAAAAAAAAAAAAGGCTGGTACCGGCACACCGGGTTCTAGTCCCAGTTGGGGTGCCAGATTCTGTCCCGGTTGCCCCTCTTCCAGGCCAGCTCTCTGCTGTGGCCAGGGAATGCAGTGGAGCATGGCCCAAGTGCTTGGGCCCTGCACCTCATGGGAGACCAGGAGAACCACCTGGCTCCTGCCTTCGGATCAGCGCGGTGCGCCGGCCGCAGCGCGCCAGCCGTGGCTGCCATTGGAGGGTGAACCAACAGCAAAAGGAAGACCTTTCTCTCTGTCTCTCTCTCTCACTATCCACTCTGCCTGTCAAAAAAAAGAAAAAAGAAAAAAAAAAAAAAACCTTGGCAAGTGTTTGTCTGCACTGGGACCATAAAGAAAGGATGAGATTGAGAAGGTTGATGAGTTCAGGAAGGGTAAACCCCTGCACATGTAGCAGTGACCCATTCTGGGGACAGGGCAACTCAGAAAGGAGACGGGTGCCACTTCCCTAGAAACCAAGCAGGGCTTGCCAGCGGCACTCTTGCACCCTATGACCCAGTACTTCAAGCTGCAGACAAACCTCCAGACATTGACAGAAACACCTTTCCTAAGGGACACCCTCCAGGAGCCATTCTCGATGTCACTGCATCTGGCATAGCATATGTCTCTCAGAGGCCATGGTCTAGGTTGCAAGGAGTGAAATTAACTTTTGCACTTTTGCAACAGCAAGCACGGCCTGTCCTGCTTGGAAAAGTGATATCTCGCCACTGTGTTCCATTCCATTCTCCCCTTCCCTCTCTCTGTCGCTTGAACAGACACAAGAACACAATGCATGGAATCAGACAGGCCTAGGAATGTACTTGCTGCAACAGCATTATTGAGGCTTAAAATCACAGCTCTGGTCCACTTGGCATCCATCCAAGGTTTTTGGTAAAAATGGATACTGGGCACATAGGGTGGTGGTACCTACACCGTTAGAAGAAGAACCTTAGGCTCCTAGAGAAAGTGTGCCCTCTACTTCCAGCCTGGGTAGGCTGAGATGGAGAGTGGAGAAAAGAATTCATCAGCTTCCTCTAGAGCTTTTTTATTTTTAAGAGGTTGATTACGATGCATATGAAACATTTTAAAGCTTGAGTGCTCCCCATAAAGCTGTTCCCTTTATGCTAATTGCTCTCAATAAAACTAGATCAAGAACTAGGTCTCTCAGCCCGGTACAAGTTCTAGCATGCCTGTTGGGCGCAAGTTCAGAGTGCTTAGCTCCTATCTGATGGGCCTTTTGGAAACAGATAGATAGCCTGATGGATAAGTGATAAATAGCCCGATACACCATATTAATAGGTAAGTGATCTAGCAAGGAACTCGACGTGATGGAAAACAGGGCCCGGTAAACAGTTTGTCATCACAGGCATTTCACAAGAGAAAACCCTGGAAGGGAGTAGACGCTGTGGTGCAGCCTACGTGATTCATCAGCACTCCGGCAGGCCCCACACAAACCTCCAGATCCCTTGGAATTGCAGCCAGAACAACCCTGTCGACAGCTGACACAGAAAAACAGGAACCCAAGTGAAACAGCTTGGAGCGAGCCTGGAGGGGAAAGTGCCTGCAGTAAATTGCCTCCACCATAGCAGCAATCCGTAAACAAGGTGAACCGTGGGCCAGACAGGGCCTCGCCCCCTCCTCTTGGACAGCATGGGAGCAGCCACCAGCTGTGACCTCTGGCTCCTCCTCACACTTGCTTTCTGCTCCCCCCACCCCCTTCATTGTTAGCTGCCCCTTTGGGAAACTCACAAAAGGACACCACCCAATCCAAGAGCTGGCAAGGCCTGCGCAGAGCCTTGGAGCTTCCCAAGAGGATTTCACATTGCCTACGAGTTGGCCTCAAAAGACGCGTGTGCCTGGGTGTCTCCTGTGCAGAGTGGGGGTGTCACAGCCCTGTTTCATCCCCATCACAGTATCTAACCAACCTGAGACGGGGTGAACATCTTGTCTACATTCTACCAGCCCCACTGGAACCCGGTGTCCTCTTGTTACATCTTAACTACCCTTCTTCAGAAATCCCTTAATGCACACATTCAGACTCTCAGAGTACCTGCTAACTCGTTATAAAGCCTTCCTAGTTTCTCTATGCAGAAAGCAACCAGCACAGATGACAATACAACAATTCCTTAGACTGAAGCCACAACCCTGGTAAGATGGCATGATTTGTGAGTGGATCCCATTGATTCTATCAGATCATTCATACCCATCCCCACAAGCAGGCTCAAAGCTCTTACGGAGACCTTTGAGGAATCTAACACACTGATTTACTACATGGTTTCTCTGT